AATGCAAGTAAAATGAATGAAATGCATAAATGGATGCAAAATGCCATATGGATAATGCATGCTTATTATTTGTTTCAGGTTTTCCTTTAACTTATGATGAGGAACAGACCAGATTAGATTCTTTTAAGAAAGTTCTCATTGAGGACTCCAAACCTACAAGAACTTGAATCGATTTAGGGAAGAAATTTGATGCCATAACTCCATATCAAAATAAACATTTCTCATAATGAAAAGATGATGAAATTGTCTTTTATTGGTTTACAATATTAGAATTACAACAAGTCAATCTTTCCAAAGCCTTGGACCATTATATATTGTTATCTTTAATTAACCCAAAAAACTAATGGAATTCATTTCTAGTCATTGGCTCACCATCAGCTATTTGTTGGGCTATGCTTCTTAATCCTAAAGTATAATTCTTGGCATCATCTACTTGTAGATGATAGCGCATAGCTTCAGAAGCACAACATTCTGCTTCTTTTTCTACATTTTCTTTTTCTGATGATAAGGTTTGCTCAATGGAAAGCAAATGGTCCACCTGCTTATCTAAATTAGCAATTACTGTATCTTGATTTTGACACTGTTCCTGAAGTGATTTATTTGCCTATTCCAACTTTAATGCCATTTCCTCAGATTTTGATGCTCTTCTAACCCATTTCTTCATGTTGACTTCTTGCTTCCTCTTATCTTCTGACATAAATGCATATTTTTCTTGTAGCTGCTAGAACTCAAGTTGTTAATGTTGTAGCTGAGTTGACAAGTCATCCTTTTCCTGTTTCGTGATAGCCAATGCTTTTTCTCGAATGGCTAGATTACATGCTAACTTTTTTTTTTTTAGCCGCTAACTCTTCCACTTTAAAATTCAAATTTAGGTTGTAAGATTCATGTTGAGCATGAACTTCTTTATATATGTCTTCAGCAGATTGAATCAAAGACCTAGATGACCCTTCAAATGCAGGCCTACCAGGATGTTTCCATGCTTTTTTCACTAACTCTAATAATTTCTTTGAGGTCTTGAAATCTTTATAAAATGTTGCCAGCTCGGTAGTCCTTGGAATAAAATGCTAAAATCCAAACTGTCGTAAAACCATGTTAGGACAATAACTAATACAACAGCGGGCTCCTATCAACGGGACCTATGGGTACTCACCATAGTATGCCAGATAAGATTTGAAGTAAGAATATCGACTCCTCCAATGAAATTGAGATTTACTTAGACTCAAAAATAGTGATTCCCATGTAGCTCTTCCTACTTCATGCAAATGTTTTTCAACAAAATTCTCCAGCTTAGAATAAAGATACCATAGGGTACCAACCAAACCTGAAATCTTCCCCTCAATCATGTGACTCATAGTCCAGACAAACAATAGCTGCAAGTAACATCTTAAACGATCCTTTCCTGTTTTTCTACAATAATTCAAGAATAAGAGAGTTTTAGCCAATATTGTTGTAGCAGGATTAATTTTAAGGGTCGCCATACTTTTAAATATATTAATAGCCTTAAAATCGATCATTCCCTTGGCAAATGGGAAAAGAACCAAACTGTATATGCCTAAGGTCAAAATTCTCAATCGAATTTCATTGTTGTCATCATGTAGTCTCCTCTGGAATACAACTTCTAGCTCATTCCAAAACCAACCCTAGCTATTTCCTTGTGAAGTTGCATGTGATTTTGCTAGTTGATAGTCTATTTGGGTAATCCAAGCAAAGTTAGAAATGCATGTTTTATAGGTGTATAAAAGTATACCTTTTCTCACTTGGGACAATTTAGCAGAGATTCATACTCCTCGATAGTAAAAGTCATATCCATAGTATCAAAAGTGAAGCACCGATATTCTGGATCCTAAAAACCTATCATGGCTTGAAAACAAGCATGTTGGACTCTAATTTTCATTAAATGTGACAAGTCCCCATATTGTTTCTGAAAATCAATCTAATCATGAACAGATAGCATTTCCCAACAATTTAGTAGTTGTCCTGTACCAAGTGGTCTATCATCTAATTTAATCTGTGCTGGTAATTGAGGCTCAAATTCTGATGGCAAACAATCCCCTTCATCATGTTGGCTCAATTCTGATCTGGTTAAAAATTCCTCAATAGTATTGGTTTTTTCCATCTCACACTTCCTAAGGATCGGTGGAGATATAATGAGAATATAGAATGTATATAAAAATGTATGTTAATGCAATGACATTTATTTGTGTCTTAGAGGGTATATCCTACTTGATAGGATTTAACTCATAAGGTTTGGTAAGTTATAATCATGAATGTTTGATGAGATTTACAAGTATTAGCATTAATCGAATAAGATGACTAATGTAATAATGTTAACAATCTATAATCAGATTGGAACCTCCTTTGGTGTGGTTTCCAATTAAATAATAAGAGTTTATACTATACTTGTTTGACATATCATTAGTGAAACCTCTAACCTTGACATTTGTTATTATCATCGTTTAATCCTTACATTAATATTCCATCTCAAAGGTCATCATCTTCTCCTTCTTTTTCTTTTTCTTTATTAATATTACTACTACTGCTACTACTACTACTATTATTAGTATTATTATTATTATTCTAGTTGTTGTTATTGTTATTGTTATTGTTGTTGTTATCGTTATTATTATTATTTTTTATAATTTGTATAATTAACCTCCATGTAGTTCGACCCCGGTCTTGCCGGGTTATTTATTACTTCGACACTCCTACACTTGGGAGAAGACATCAATCTTTTAGTCATGTCAAGTTTTTGGCGTCGTTACCGGGGAGGTAAGTTCTTGTATAAATTATAATAGTTATTTTAGTTTCTCTTTTCACTTTTCTTGTATATAACTTTGTTTCTTTTCTCTTGTTTCTTCTTCTTTTGTTTTCTTCTTTCTTTTATTCTATTCCTACACATGCATGAGAGTGTGGTCACGTACATCAAGTGGTAGACTTTGTAGGGTATCCTCATCATTTTCAGAAAATATAGCCAATGAAGATAATTAAACACTTCATAATAAGAATAATGAGAATAACCGTGCTAGAACACTTAGAGACCACATGAATCCCATAAGAACAAGTGCACCATTATGCATTGTTTTTCCTCCTGATGCATCTCATTTTAATTTTAAGCCAGACATTATTCAACTTTTACCTTCTTGTCATGGCTTAGAATTGGAAAATCCATACTTGCATTTAAGGGAATTTGAGAAGGTTTGCAACACATATAATAATTTAAATTATAGCATGAACACCATTAGACTAAAGCTCTTTCCTTTTTCATTAAAAAATAAAGCTAAAACATGGCTACAAAATTTAAGACCAGGATCCATTCGTGCTTGGAGTGAAATGCAACAATAGTTTTTGAAGAAGTTTTTCCCATCTCACAGAATAAACTCTTTCAAAAGAAAAATCACCACTTTCACTCAAAAATCAGGAGAAACATTTTACCAATGTTGGGATAGGTATCAAGACTCACTTAGTACTTGCCCTCATCATGGTTTTGAAACATGGAGATTGATTTCACATTTTTATAAAGGGTTAATGATTAGTACTTAAAAGTGCATTTTTGTCATGTTTTTATATCATCATTTTGCACTTGAAGTATCAATAACTCCTTAACTAAAGCATGTTTTATAATAACATATCTAATAATATAAGATACCTTTAATTTGTGGTAAATATTCATTTTAAATGCAGGCCTATCACATAAATAAAAGGATTGATTGATGACTTTAAGAACTTAAATTGCAAGGGGAAAGAGATGACCGAACTTAGAAAAGAGATGTCGGAGCAATCCAAACCAGAACCCTGTAGATTTCAGCTTTAAGTCTACTTTATATGGATGGAAAGGTAAGACATAGGTCTACAACTTTTATATGGAGCCCAAGATCTAAAAAGACCATTTTCAAGTCCAAATGGTATCAACTACAAAGAAGCCCGAATCTATCCTCCAGCCTGAGCACTGTTCAGTATTTTAGTCATATCTGGAGTTCTAGAAGTTCAAATGAGCTGAATTGTTTACATAAGAAAGATGAGACAATTGCCTACAACTTTCATATTTTCAAATGGCTCCAATTTGGACGTTATTAATGACGTTTTGGGCAAACAAAAGAAGATAAGGATTGTCACCAAGTCAAGAGTTGGCCACCCACTCATCAATTAATCACCAAATCAATAGTTTCCAATTTTGGCCTATAAAATGAGGCATTTGCCATGCATTTAGGCATCTTAGTGTCTATATCAAGATCATACTCTCGCTTTCTCTCTTTGTATTTTTTGTAATGTTTATGCTTTGCTTTCATTAATATCAAGTTTATGTCTTTCATTTCCTTTCATTTACGTAGTTAACTCTTATTTTATTTATGTTCTTATTTTATTTGTCTTGTCTGTAAAATAAAATTTAAACTCTAATTTTAGTTACTTTTTTTTAAAAAAAATTAAACGAGATAAGATAAAGAAAATATCTAAAAAGTTTAGGTAAGATAAGAAAATTTTAAAATAACTGGATTTAATTAAACCTAATCCTATTCAATTGGACAAAACTATACAAAAGAAATAGATAAGAAATTTCAAAACAACTTTGATTGTGGGATAGGATGAAACCTTACCATATTGGTACTTGTAAATGAGCCCTTAAGTTATTAGTAATATTATTTATCGTATTGATTTTGCATTTAACTATAGTTTTTTATAAATTGGTAATTATTTTCTTATAGAAAAAAATCAAAGGATTAATTTCAAAATAGATTATATTACTGTATCATGACAAGAATGGAGTCAAACCATCAATTTAAAAATAATAGTTGGATTGGATTTGACCTAACCCTAGCCACATTTTTCGTTGGGACGCTGACAATTTTGATGCTCTGACAACATAAGTTTCCATTGGAGTCATTACTCTTATGCTTATCCAGCACAAGCAATTACGTGGTACAAGGAAACTACGAAAGAGTACGATAATTCTTAAGTTGGCAATCCCACGTATAATTAGAAAAGAGAGAAAGTACGTGAACACGTGTATGAAGGAAAACCCTGATGAGAGGATGAATCCAGCCTATATAATCTCTCATATACATTTTGAAAAATCCCAACTCTAATTAGAGGCGTTGTTTTTAACAAAATAAATAAATAAATAAAATGGAGATAGTTAGAAAAGAAGAAGAGGGAGATGATGAGGAGGAGGAAGAGCTTAAAACAATTCTCTTTTATCAATTTGAGTATATACCAAATCAAACTCCTAAGGTATGTATGTTCTTGTTTCTTATTGTTCTCTTTATTTCTTTTTTGTGCTGTCAATCAAGATTTAAAAAGGAATAATACTTAATTTTCTTCAGATTTTGGAGCTAAAGAAAATGGAGAGCAACTGGACATCCATCATTTTGCAGCGCGCTTCAGGTTGACTTGGATCAAGCATAGGTATTGCATCTGGCTTTGTATTGGTTAATTTCTTTTCTTCATTTTTTTCTTTTTCTTTTTCTTAATTATTTGTAATAAACTAGATTAAAATTGAATTTTCCATGAATTTAAAATAAATTACATGAACTAAGAGTTTTGCTAAACCGTTGTTAAATTGAGAATAAATCTTTTATTTTCATGTCTAATTGGAACATGTGTAAATGATACTTTCGTATGATGAATGACTTTATATGCCAAGTAGACCCCTAAGAAAAAGGGCTTTCACGAGTCCAATCTTGCAATTTTATCACTTAGCATATATAAATTTCTAATATTTACTATTTGTTTCAAAGGTCAATTATGCATAAATTTTCACAATTTAATAAGGGAGTTTAATTTGAGGATATTAATGTAGCAGATATATTTACTATGTTTGAAATATAGTGAATCTCAGTTAAAGTTAATCAGCTCTCTCTTGCAGTACCAGAATGAGGCTTGGGATGGCAAGGTGGATGTGGGGTGGCATATTCAATCCGATTGCGCCTCTCAGTAGCGTAATTGATATGATGCCTGTTCGTAGGTTCTAATGTGGGAGAAATTATTTCTTTGCAAGAAATTGACCAGGCATCAATCATTTTCATCTATCCATTCATCCATCTGGTTGGTTTGTTGCCCATATTGTTCGAGTAATTTGGTCGGCATTTTCTTGCACATCCTTGAATTGCTCTTCTAGAACCCCAACTTCTAGTTCATCAGAAGTAGAATTCTCTCATTGTTCTCCTTGTTCACTGAGCATGGCGAGTTGGAAAGCTTAACATCTTTAATCCCCATTTCAAGGAAGAATTCAGCAACTTCCTTGGAAACTGTTGCATGTGAGTTTCCAGCACCTCCTGTTACCAGCAGACCTCCTGTGTATGGATTAACTGCAGCTGCAGTTTTCATTACTAGCAACTCGCTCAGGATGTCTAGTTCTTAAGCAAGACTCTTGCCTTTTGCTTCAACAATTTGCTTCCTGAATAGTTTCCCTTGCATTAAGTGGAGCTCCATTAAAAGGAGATGCATCCAAGGTCACTAAGCCACCTTGTTGCAATATACATGCTTTGCACTTCTGGTTTCTGTAATCTAAAGCCACATCAATATATATAATCATGGATGCTCATAGAGATCATGCCTCTGCTAGAAGCTGCCAGTTTCATTTACAGAGATTAAACTTGCAAACTAAAGAAGAACTATCAGGGTAGAATGAATGATAAAATTACTCAGATTATTTTAGATACTTTGTAATAGCTTTATGTAGGTAATTGCAAGGATGCAAGAAAATCTGAGTGGTCAATATTAACTTTGTATTGAATTCCTGTAACAATAGAATATACACTTGAATGATTCTCTGACTAATCTTTCAGAAATTATCTTGTACTTCTCTGTTTTATGTTTCCATATTAATCCAATTTACAAAATGAAAAAAATGAATATAGTAATATAAGAAAATAAGAATATAAACTTAGCAGCCTTCAAGAAATGAAAATAATAATTATTACATTGATATTACTCTCTCTCTTTTCTTTTTTTCTAAATATTTTTGAAAATAGATAACAATACTTTTGAGGATAAATTAATATGAATATAAATAAAAATATTAGTGACATTATATATAATTCTCATATCAATAATATATTAAATTTACCGATGAAAATATTACTAAGAAAATAAAGCAGGCTTACGCGATTTGTGCTCCTGGAAATTAATCCCTTTTGATTCGGCATTCTCTCTTTTACAATGACAACACAATTTTCATTGAACTTGAAATCACAAATGCAAAGAACCCTGTAGAGATAAGTTAATTTCTATATAAAATCTCTTTGCTTTCGATTGGCATTACTCTTGCCTTAATTAGTGCCTTGGAAATTATTAGCATACCCTATGCGGTCTGAAAATCCTATCGAAAAGGAAAATGATGCAAAATAAGGCAAGAAATCCCTACTGGTATATATGAGTATGAAAAAACCAAACCCTGTAGGAGAAGGACTATGAATGGTTGAAATACGAACTGCGGTATGTCTACAAGGGCGGAGAGAGGAGGTTTGCGGGGGTCGGGGCCATGCGAAAAAGAAAAACCATTAATATTATGCTCCCGAAAAAGGAGCAATCTTAAAATGTAAATCAGAATGTTATTCTGGATGAAGAGCTTTATAGCTAAGGGATAATTTAATTTCATGAAATGTAAATCAGATTATGCGATTACTGTTAATTACTTTTTGTAGGAATAGAGCCAGGATTCTTTTTAAAAGCTCTATACAGGTAATGGCAAGGATGCAGGAAAATCTGAGCTGTAAATTTAAAGCAATCTTGTTCATAGAATGTTTTTGAAGATACACTGTCAATTCATGTAAACATGTTAATTACTTTGTGTATGTTGAATGATTATTCATATTGTAACAATTCGAATTTTTATTTAATAGAAATATAGATTATCTATATTTTATTTCATGCAAAAAAGATTATCTATATTTTATCCAATTAAGAAAAATTTCTTTTTTTTTCTATTTAAGGAAAATAGTTTTCGTATTTTTCTACATACAATATTGAAAGAGCTTTCGAGTTTTTTCTATATAAAAAATTTCAATAGTCTTTTATCAAGCAAGATAAATAAAAAATTAAATATTTTCAACAACAATAATAAACCATTTCGTAAGAGATTTTTTGTTTCATACAAGGATCACATATATCAACATTTTAAAACAATATTGAAGATCTTCTGGTCAAGGACTTAGCGATAATGGTTTTAATAATTAGTTTCTTTAAATTAACGGCTTGAGTTATATATAATGACTCAAGTTTTCACAATTATAATGTAATGAGGGCTGTACTACCACATTATTTATACATAATTAAGAAAGTTACATAAGATTAAAAGTAAAAAAAAATGGATAATATTAATGCTAGATATACAAAAAAAATTTGCTGAATTTCGCTTGCTAAGACATACGATATCTATTGTAAGGTATGTTTTATAAAGAAAGAATTACATATCTTATAACATTTAGTAGAATAATTTTAATTATGAAATTAAATTGAAAATAAGTTGTTTACTTTCATGTCTTGGAATATGTGTGAATGATATAATGAATGATTTAATGCGTAGATGACTCTAAAAAATTTTAATGAGTCTAAGTATCGCACAAGTATCGCACATGTATGTATTGTGATGATTATTTTTTGTTTCCAGATAAAAATTTAATTATTTTAATGTATGTAAAAGAAACATATTTTTAATATTAAGAATATGTTTTATGTGTAAATTTGTAATTCTGAATATTAAAAAGAAAACAAAATAATTTTTTTTGAAATTTTTGAAATGTTAATTTAGTTCTTATGACTTTAATAAATTGGTTATCAAAACCAAAATGCATGCAAATATATATTTTGAATTTTTGTTATATGAAAACATGATATGATTTTTTTATTTTAGAGATTTAACCATATGCATGAAGACAAAAATATTTTTTTTATTTTTTTAATGTTTTGACAAAAATCAAGTATTTTAATCTAGATTTGTATCTTTATAGTATAAAAATACATAATGATATTAATCAGAATGTCGTTAAACATTTATGCATGAAAATCACAAATTTTAAAATGATTTTCTTGGAATTTTTTTACTAAGATGGCTGAATCTGACCTAAAAAAAACTGGATTGATGAGATCTATTTAAAATAAAATCAAGCTAAAACTAATAAAAAAAAACTTATTTATAGTTGGACTCAATTTAGCCGCATAGACTAAGTTGATGTTACAGCCGAAACATCCAATATACCAATTATGTTACTGTGATGAGAACCATAGCTAGCTAATTATAATTAATCAGTTATGTGCTAATGTATAGTAAACAATTAATTTTTTTTTTGATGTAAGAAAGTCAACAATACATATACTGCATGCAAAAGAACAACTAAGAAGATGAGAATAAGGTATGATTTCAGGTTCAAGTTTTTAATTGCTTATGTAATAATCATTAGAGAGTTATATAATTATTAATTTTAAGATCCATTAAATTAATTGTGATGCATAAAAATTGATCTGGATACCTATATTAATAATAAAAAAAAAACAAGAAGAAGGAGAATAGCATTACCTAGAATGGTGGTGCTCTGTAGTTGGGCTACCGCAGCTTGCAGTGGCGGTTGGGCATTTGTTCTAAGCGGTGATGCTGCTGTTTCTGTTTCTTCTTCCCACTGCCTTGTTTTATCTCTGCCCCTCCCCCTCGTTTTGTTCTGTTCTTCTCTGTTTATGTTCTGGCGGTGGCCAGGGGCGGAGTTAGGTTCATCTTACAGGGGAGGCCAAAACTAATATAATAATATATATATTATTAAAAAGTTTATTTATTTAAAATAAAAATATTACATAATAAAATATTTTAAAATGTTTTACAGGAGCCCGGGCCCCTGCTTGCCACCCCCTAGTTCCGCCCCTGGCGGTGGCGGTGCTGTCTACGGCGAAGAGGAAAAATGAAGGTGGCATTACGGTGGCAAATAATTTCAGGCGGTGATCCTTCTTCTTCTTCTCCTCCCTTGTGTCTTCTGTTCTTTTTTTTCCCCTTCTTTCTCTCCTTTCTGTTTCTGTTTCTCTCTTCCTCCTCTCCTTCTTTCTCTCCTTTTTTTTTTCAATTCTCAAAACGATCTTCCTCCCTGATTCTCTCAAGTCTCACCGGCTTTCTTCTCAAAATTTCCTTTTGTTTTACTCCAAAAACTCTCCTCCTCCGTCTGCTTGTCTGTTCATTTTTTAAACCAAAAACCCTCTCTCCCCCTTTTTTCTCTCTATACCTCTCAGTACGTATAGCCAGTGGGAGCGAGAGGAACGCTGCCTTGTCCTGTCATGGTGCAGGTCAGGGTGGCGTGAGGCAGCTCTGCACAGCCGCCCCTGCCACTGAAGTATAGGTTTTTGACATCAAAGTTTACAATGTGGTAAAAGAACAGACACTGGTGAAAGAATCAGGAATAGGAAGGCGGATTGCTAAGCAAGATGAAACATCTTCATATCCTTTTGATGGTTAATTAATCCAATGAAAGAGTGAATGTATGTTGCTGAGTTTGAAATTTCAATGTTCCATATGTACCTGCTGCCTCAAATGTATTACCCGTGTCTCTCCTTTTTTTCTTGAATAATAGAAATTGTGTTATTTTAAACCCTAATCATGAAACCCTAGTTCAGCTTCATGATCTGAGGCCATTCCTCCGCGACAAAGAAAATATAGGAGGGGTAGGGCATCAATTCTCATCGTTATGCTAAATGGAAGCCACCCCCTCAAGGTTGTGGAAGCTAAATGTCCACGGAAGTTCTCCTGGTGGCGCAGGATGTGGTGGTGTTATCAGTGATTATTTAGGAAATCGGTGCTATGGTTTTTCTTCTTGTATCGGTTCTGCATCAAATATGGTTGCTGAGCTGTGGGGGATTGATCTGGGAAGGAATCTCTCTTGCGAAAGATAATGGCTGTCCCTCTTCAAGTTGAAACGGATTCCATAGAAGCTGTTCGGTGCTTACCTTGTACTCCTGCTCATCATCCTCTCTACAGTATTATACCAATGTTATATTGTAGGTTTGAGATTATTCGAGAGGGCAGTCAATGTGCGGGTTCCATGAATCGATTAGGTTCATCTCGAGATGATCGTATGCTAAGGTCGAAGTCTCCTCCTGGTATTAGGAATTTGTCTACAAATATGTATCTTTTTGAAGGAATGCAACTTTGTAGCTTATTATAATGAAAAACAAAAGAGAACAGGGGATGTTGCGTTTTGAGTGTTTAGAACATTATTATAGGAACAGGTCATGCAGTAAAACCATAATCCTGATTGTGGTCATGGGCAAAATCCTAACGAAAGGTTATACCATCAGCTGGTTGCAGTAGTATTTACATACGAATCACAGTAAAATCTTCGCAGCTGTTACGCTAGCTCACAAAGCATCACTAGCCACGTTGTT